CATGGGGGGGTTGTTAACTTGTTAGGGGGACATGGTTGTAACTTGTAACTTATATTGGTGCGGCAAGTAGCCGGCAACGTCCGGATGTCATGGGATTTGGTGTTTTTTTTTTTGTTTTTTTGTTTTTTTTTCTTTCTTTCTTGGTGACGGTGAACCGCCATAAACGGCGATGCATGGGGGGGTGGGGGTTAGTGGGAAAGGTTTATATAGGTTTGACATCGACGGGATGCCATTGGATGTTTGTTTTTCTTTGTTTTTTGTTTTATTCTTCTTTCTTTTTTAAAGACGGCAAACCGCCATAGGCCCGTAAGTGACATTGCAAGGGGGGGGGGTTGTCGGGGGGACATGGTTGTAACTTGTATGTCGGGATGTCGTGGGATTTGGTGTGTTTTTATTTTTGTTGTCTTTGTTTGTTGATGTCGGAGAAGCGCCATAAACGGCGATGCATGGGGGGGGTGTTAGGGGGAAAGGTTTATGTTGGTTTGGCATCGACGGGATGCCGGTGGATGTTTGTTTTCTTTTGTTTTTTGTTTTTGTTCTTCAATCTTTTTTAAAGACGGCGAACCGCCATAGGCCCCTAAGTGACATTGCATTGGGGGGGGGGGGGGGGGGGGGGGGGGGGGGGGGGTTAGGGGGGCTTGCACCAATACTTGTAACTTGTATTGGTGCGGCAAGTTGCCGGCAAGGTGGGGATGTCGTGGGATTTCGTGTTTTTTTTTTTTCGTTCTTTCTTTGTTGGTGGCGGTGAACCGCCATAAACGGCGATGCATGGGGGGGGTGTTAGTGGGAAAGGTTTATATAGGTTTGGCATCGACGGGATGCCATAATTTGCCATTTTTATTTATTTTTTCTTTCTTTTTTAAAGTAGGCGAACCGCCACAGGTCCCTAAGTGACATTGCATAGGAGGGTTGTTAACTTGTTAGGGGGACACGATTGTAACTTTTATTGGTGCGGCAAGTTGCCGGCAACGTCTGGATGTCGTGGGATTTGTTTTTTGTTTTTTTTT